TCGTCGGTGATTGCATGGAATTCTTTTCTGCGTTTCAAAGTTGCTGCAGAGAGATCTGCCAGGATTTTGATTTTTGCAAATTCTTCTGGTGGGTCCGCTCTGTTCCTGCTAGCGCGCAGCACGGCTTCCTTTATGTGGAAGTAGTGTGCCCTGAGGAGGATGTCCCTGGGCACGTTGTCCGGTAGGTTCCTGGGTTTGGGGACCCTGTGTACTCTATCCACCAGGAGCATGTCCACGGGTATGTCGGGGGCGTACGCCCTAAGGAGGCCTCGTACATAGGTTTGCAGGTCACAAGGGAGGACAGTCTCTGGAACTCCCCGCAGCCGCAGGTTGTTCCTCCGTGACCGGTCTTCTGCGTCCGCCATGCGGGCCTCCATGGCTTCCACTTTGTGTTCCAAGGCCGCCACGTGGTCTGCCACCTCGTTGTGTGCTGTGGCAAACTCACTGAGTTTATGTTCCACGTGCGCTGTTCTGGTCCCGATGTCTTGAACTTCTTTGCGAAGTAGTTCTATTGAGGATTGCCATGTTTTCACTAGTTTTTCTGCCATGTTGTTTAATGCATCCTCTAGGTGTGCTCTAGTCAGGTTTTCTTGCTCTCCTTGATGGGAGTTAGCCTGCTAAATATTTCCCGCTGGTATCTCGTCGGCGCCATCTTGGATTATGCTCCGATCAGTTTCAGAGACTGCCGCCGATTTTTGGTTGAAAAAGCTAAGTTTTTCAGCCTTCTGGTTGTTCTTCTTCCCCTTGGGCTGCGACATGGTAAGTTTTGAGGGGTTTCCCCGCGTTCTGACAGCGGATGGTAGCGGATTGAGAGAGCCCGGGTGCCGGAGCAATTTCCTAAGCAGCCAGGTTGCTCGGCGGTTGGCCACGCCCCCATAAGACTTTAGTTTTAAACAAAATTTACATTATCCAGCCCTGATAATCAAAGAGGAATACTAAAAAATGCAGACTCCAGGCACCATGACCACTTCAAATCATGGTGGTTGGAGTACCCTTTAAGTTAATAAATATAAAGAAAATATCACAATATGTGCTTTGTCATGACAATGAGTGCACATCACATCCATTTAAATTCAAAAATGTTAATTCAAATTAGAAAAAAATAATAATAATTTTAAGATAATTTAAAGGGACACTATAGTGACCTGAACAACTTTAGCTTAATGAAGCAGTTTTGGTGTATAGAACATGCCCCGGCAGCCTCACTGCTCAATCCTCTGCCATTTAGGAGTTAAATCCCTTTGTTTATGAACCCTAGTCACACCTCCCTGCATGTGACTTGCACAGCCTTCCATAAACACTTCCTGTAACGAGAGCCCTATTTAGGCTTTCTTTATTGCAAGTTCTGTTTAATTAAGATTTTCTTATCCCCTGCTATGTTAATAGCTTGCTAGACCCTGCAAGAGCCTCCTGTATGTGATTAAAGTTCAATTTAGAGATTGAGATACAATTATTTAAGGTAAATTACATCTGTTTGAAAGTGAAACCAGTTTTTTTTTTCATGCAGGCTCTGTCAATCATAGCCAGGGGAGGTGTGGCTAGGGCTGCATAAACAGAAACAAAGTGATTTAACTCCTAAATGACAGCGAATTGAGCAGTGAAATTACAGGGGAATGATCTATACACTAAAACTGCTTTATTTAGCTAAAGTAATTTAGATGACTATAGTGTTCCTTTAAAGTGAATTTCAAGTTTAAGGTAAAAATAGCCAAACTGGAAACATTCTCTAAATTGGCTATGCTTTCAGTTCAGCTACTCTGGCATTAAATTTTAAATTCACTTTGAAATCGCTTGCTTTTTTTCACTGTTAATCTGCAGTAAATAACAAAATCACGTTTTACTCAGAAAATAGCAATACAGAACAACAGGGATTCAGCAAATCTACAACTGAAAAACAACAAATAATATGCTAAATTAAAGCTGTGAATACGATAGCTATAGCGAACAGGTTTTACACAAGTTAGGTATGTTTTGTATAACTTGACATTGAACTTGAGTGAACTTGCAATTCAGTGTGAAGGCAAAGGCAGAGGGCAGTCAGTAAATCTCCGTAAAATCCCAGGTCTGGATCACGATGTACTTGTCGTAGATTATACAGTTTTATGTGATCATTCTATCCAGTGCGAGGATCTCAGGCTAAATCATGGAGAATGCCTCTATATGAGTCAATGCTTTTATTTAAATTGTGGCCATCTGGATTGCAATGCTCAGCACACACAGCTGAGAACAATAGGAGTTGCAGTGCATCATCCCTGCGTCATAGAGGAGTTGATTAGCTGAATGTGGATGGAGCTTGTCTAGATAAGAACATTTAAGGGTTTATTTACTAAACTATAAAACGTGGTGAATTCAAAAACAAATTCCAAAGCTCATATATTATAAGTTTGTTTGAGCAGTATCGTCTTCACCTCTTGTCTCTCTTTATCTTGTGTATGTTGGGGCGTGGAGCCTAGGTACTGAGCTGGGTAGACATGTAGAGCTTGAACTCCTGCACTATAAATAGATTTTGAGGTGCTATCCGCTTATTTCAAGCTGCTACACACACCAAAGAGCACCATCTGAGTTGGGGTACCTGGAGACAAGATCATAGGTTCTACTTAGGTCTGTAATCTACGGATAACCCGAAACTCTCTGCTGTGGCCAACAGAGGAAGAAGTTGAGGGGAGGCGGATGATTCCATTGTGCTCCAGCTCTAGGTTCGATCTCACTGCTTTCCTACCTTATGGAACAGTGGGGATTATCCCGGTCCCCACTGGACTCTCTAGGACTATCTCCACCACACTCACCCTGGGTTTCAGGCTGCAATCCAGCCGAGCTTCATCCACGTTGCACCTTCAAGATGGCAGCAGCTCTTCCACTTGTTGAATAGGGCCTGAGCCCACCACCACTTCCTCATCGCAGCTCCCTAGAATGTATCCTGCTACAGCTGGATGTAATCTTCCAGAACTTCTGGACAATACTCCGCAAATGTGCACAGGCTCTCCATAGAAGCTGTGCAGACAGATCGGAGGGGTCCTCCTCGGTGTGCACCAACTGTGCCTGATTGTAATCAGCCTGATGTCCCACCTGGACTGGGAGCATTGACTCGAGACGCAGCCTCATCGCATCTTCCACATCAACGGAGGATCACCCACCAATTCCTTGTACTATAGAGCTCTATGTACCCTATTTTATGTAAATAAGGCTGTTGGGGGCTTAAATGTGTGTGATATGTCTATTAAAGTTAGTTTCTGTTTTAACCTTCACCAAGTGTCGTCTGGTGTTTGGTCCAGGGTTGAAAAGGCTCTCAGTGATCCAGGTCAAGCCTCGGCAACTGGGTCTGAAGTGCTCCAGGGTCCCTGATAGCTACAAGGAAGTGGATTTGGTGGAGGTACTCGGTCGGAGTACTGGAGCTCCATCACATCTAGGTTATTCTTAATCTACATATCCCTTGCCTTCACACCTTAGCATCACGTGTCTATTGTTCTTGACTGAGCTTGTGATTTGGGTCTACTGATGCTCGTTTCACTCAGTTATATTGATGCTTTATTTTTATTTTTATTCACTCCATAACATGTCTCATAACAGCTATCATCACAAACATTTAGTGCTCTGGGCTTACAGCATATCCAGATGTTTCAACTGTTCCTTCTTACGAGCACTGTGCTTAATTAAACCTCATAAGTTGTGCAGCTGTGTGCCCGATCCTGTTATCTTTTTTTTTTCTTTTTTAAAAAAGAGTTTGTCTCACTTGGGAGTTTATACCATTGCCTATAATGTCTGCATTATCTATATGTTTATGACTGTTATAACTCCAATTTCTTCCTTCTGTAATGCCATTACAATGCTTCAATAAAAAAAAGATTAACAACTATATTGTATATGTCAATTTCCTGTTGTCAATTTCAATTATCCCCATTCTAAATTGCAAAGTTCTCTGGAATATGTGGACACTACATAAATAATAATAATAATAAGGTAAAATAGTCCATTTACACATTTTTCCATTGCAACTATTTTGGTCTAAGTTTTGCATTTTGGAATTCAACCTATCACAAACAACTGTGTAGTGCATAAACACATGTATGTGTTGAATCACTTTGTTTATGCAACCCTAGTTACACCTCCCTACATGTAACTTGCGCAGCCTTCCTCAACACTTCCTGTATATATATATATATATATATATATATATATATATATATATATATATATATATATATATATATATTACTGGTATTTCCTTATCTTAAATGGCCACTCTAAGCACCATAACAACCTATTGAGCGATGGGATCCCCTGTCACTGTGCTCCTGCAAAGTATAGCTGTATGGTACATGTACATGTCTTTGGGTTAACATGTTAGAATAACACTAGCACAGCTGGAACTTTCAAGATATGATTATTTTATCGGATTTATTTTATTTGCATACTTTAGTATTTTTTAATGCATTAAAGAGATGGCACTTCAGGGTCGGAGTTTTCCTTTAAAATTTAAAATTAAGTGTGAATTCTCTCTGCATTCCCTGTTACAATATAATATAATAATTTCACAGCATCCACTTGTGACTGAAAAGTATATTACAAAAAATTAAAACATTTTTTTTTAAATCAACAACTACATTTTGGACACAATGACATAACAATGTATGTTGGATGATGTCATATGTCATGTTAAATTCAAGAATTCTAGTGAATGTCAAACTTATAATATTTTGAAATCATTTACCAAATAACCCATGTTTACTAATGACCTGAAGACATTTCTAACTTCGTCATATTTGGTTTTTATTCTGTTTTGTTTGTTGTTGTTTTTTAACTCTATTATTCATTATTTAGTGAATAAGCCCCTCCATGTCTGTGTTCAGTGCTTACACCATATATACATTGAATGTTACACAGCTCCCTATTGATAAAGAAGCTTATATATCAATCCCTGAACTGATTACTCTAAAATCTAATGTGTTACCCTCAGCCCATGTTTAAATTAGGTACATCAAGTGACCAAACTGGAATACTTAATACATAGGTTTATTTGTACATTTTCTGTGTATGTCACACAAATATGATTAAATATTATTAAAAAAATATTTTGTACAAAAATAAGCATAAATGTATCCAATTCTAAAAAAACACACACAACACAAAACATGACATGTACATAGTACTTAAACTGAAGAACACTTAATGAAATAAAACAAATGATAAAGTTAGTCCGATAAAAGTCCATTTGTAGATCTTAAGTGACGGTATGCCCTATTAAAGACTCCTAGTCAAAAGATGACGAGAACTTGAAACACATTCTATAAAAACAATAATAAGGGACCATGTAAAGATATTTAGAGATAGTTCTGGGATCACAGACACAAATGAAAAGGCTCCTACACTGGGTAGATCCATTGTATCTGTTTTGAAGTGATTGAAATGTCTCTTTTTAAGAAAGTCTTTATGTGACTGGGCACATTCAGGTTCTCCATGTCCCAAGTTGGAGATAGCACATAGTATCTGAGTTAGTCCAGGCTGGGCCTGTAGCTGCTCACATCCTTGTCCTTCTGGAGGTAGAGATGGTGAGAGCCTCTTCTTAAAGCCTCCAGAGACTGTAAGAAGGACCTCCTAGCCTTCTCCTCCTCATTGGGGGACAACCCCTCCTCTGCAACTTCCTGGATCTCCTTGAAGGACAGAGGCTGGATTCTCATCCTGTTTTGCCTGTTTCTCCTGAGAGGTCCACTGCTGGCTGGGGATTGAGGGAAGTCTTCATACAGGAAGGTACCCTGAGACATGGCTTCCTGATAACTGGAGAAATGGTCCTCACCCTGATTATCTGCCATGATAACAGAGGATGGGATGAAAGCTGCAGGTAGGTTGAGGAATGTGCACTTACTGGGAACTGGAAAAAGTTATTTAGTCAAGTCAGTAGAAGCCAGGTAAGGATGGTGTGCTATACAGTCAGTAGAAGCTGTGCAAGCATAGTGTGCTATACAGTCAATAGGAGCTGAGACAGGATAGTGTGCTATACAGTAAGTATGAGCTGAGAAAGGACAGTGTGCTATACAGTCAGTAGGAGCTGAGAAAGGATAGTGTGCTATACACTCAGTAGGAGCTGAAAGAAAGGATAGTGTGCTATACAGTCATTAGGAGCTTAGGAAGCATAGTTTGCTATACAGTCAGTAGTAGCTGAGAAATAAGGGTGTGCTATACAGTCAGTAGAAGCTGAGAAAGGATAGTGTGCTATACAGTCAGTAGGAGCTGATAAAAGATAGTGTGATTTACAGTCAGAAGGAGCTGAGAAAGTATAGTGTGCTATACAGTCAGTAGGAGCTGAGAAAGGATAGTGTGCTATACAGTCAGTAGTAGCTGAGAAAAGGAGGGTGTGCTACACAGTCAGTAAGATCTGAGGAAGAATACTGTGCTATACAGACAGTGGGAGCCGAGAAAGGATAGTGTGCTATACAGTCAGTAGGAGCTGAGGAAGAATACTGTGCTATACAGTCAGTAGGAGCTGAGGAAGAATACTGTGCTATACAGTCAGTAAGAGCTGAGAAAGGATATTTTGCTATCCAGACAGTAGGAGCTGAAAAAGGATAGTTTGCTATACAGACAGTAGGAGCTGAGAAAGGATAGTGTGCTATACAGTCATTAGGAGCTTAGGAAGCATAGTTTGCTATACAGTCAGTAGTAGCTGAGAAATAAGGGTGTGCTATACAGTCAGTAGAAGCTGAGAAAGGATAGTGTGCTATACAGTCAGTAGAAGCTGATAAAAGATAGTGTGATTTACAGTCAGAAGGAGCTGAGAAAGGATAGTGTGCTATACAGTCAGTAGGAGCTGAGAAAGGATAGTGTGCTATACAGTCAGTAGTAGCTGAGAAAAGGAGGGTGTGCTACACAGTCAGTAAGATCTGAGGAAGAATACTGTGCTATACAGACAGTGGGAGCCGAGAAAGGATAGTGTGCTATACAGTCAGTAGGAGCTGAGGAAGAATACTGTGCTATACAGTCAGTAAGAGCTGAGAAAGGATATTTTGCTATACAGACAGTAGGAGCTGAAAAAGGATAGTGTGCTATACAGTCAGTAAGAGCTGAGGAAGAATACTGTGCTATACAGACAGTGGGAGCTGAGAAAGGATAGTGTGCGATACAGTCAGTAGGAGCTGAGAAAGGAGGGTGTGCTATACAGTCAGTAGGAGCTGAGAAAGGATAGTGTGCTATACAGTCAGTAGGAGTTGAGAAAGGATAATGTGCCGTACTGTAAGTAGGACCAGAAAAAAGGAAGGATAATGAGCTGTGCAGTCAGTAGAAGGTGAAGAAGGATAGTGAGCTATGCAGTAAGTATAAATTGAGGATGGATAATGTGCTGTGCAGTCAGTAGAAGGTGAAGAAGGAAAGTTAGCTATGCAGTAAGTATAAATTGAGGAAGGATAATGTGCTGTGCAGTCAGTAGAAGGTGAAGAAGGATAGTGAGCTATGCAGTAAGTATAAATTGAGGATGGATAATGAGCTGTGCAGTCAGTAGAAGGTGAAGAAGGATAGTGAGCTATGCAGTAAGTATAAATTGAGGAAGGATAATGTGCTGTGCAGTCAGTAGGAGGTAAAGAAGGATAGTGTGCTACACAGTCAGTCAGTCGGAGCTGAGGAAGAATACTGTGCTATACAGTCAGTAGGTAGAAGGATACTTTGTCTTTTCTTTGTGCTGTTTTGTGTCTGTGAAGCAGGTTTTCTTGATGTGTGCTACCCTGGCTGCCTCCCTGCTTTATATACCTTCTCTCTCCACTCCCCCCCCTCCACCCCCCCCTCCACCCTCTTGGCAGAGAACCAGTTCCTGTAAATCCTGCCAGGATCAGGTGAGTGACTGAAGGGATCTGCAGGGCAGATAAATATATCACTTATTGTGGTGTTGATCACCCCACCTCTATCAGGCTTCTCAATTCCATCTGCCATGGACCCCCTACTGCCTCTCTCTCTCCTGCCCCAAGCTGGGGTAACTAGGACTGAGTTGGAGAGTTTGTCTTGATCATTCTTGCTAGAATATTTCCATCAAATTTACTACAATTCAGAGTTTAGTGAATAATTTATTTTGTTGTCCTAGGACACGTGATAAAACTGCAAGGAGATCGCTCACAGGTTTATTCTGCAATTCGCATGAATTTAGGCCTATCGGGTGATCCATCAAATTCCAGAACTCCAAGCTTAGATCTTCCCTAAGCATGAACCAATTCAGAATGCGCAATGCCAAACATGTTCAGTACCAGGTCAGGATTCTGGATTCCGCCTCTAGCGACAAAAAAAAAGAAGATTTTTTTGGGAAAAAAAAGATGATTGATGACCGGGGGACAGTCACGAACAGGCCTATTTACTAAAGAGAGAATTCAAAGGGAATGTCACATTTAAGGTCAAAATAGCTGAACTCTAAAAAATCTCTAGATCAGCTGTCCTTTCATTCAGTCTACTTTGACCCTAAATTTGAAATTTACTTTCAATTCACTTTAAATTCTCACTTTGGCAAATAACTCTGTGTGCCTTTAATTCCTTTGAGAACATTATTCAGAGACCTGCAGAGGGCGTTCTATGCTTGTATTTCATTACATCCTGTTAGTTATTTGTACTGATGAAATGGCCAGTTAGTTCATACTCTTGTCTTCTTTTTATAAAGTGCAAACTTATTTAATTAAATTTTTTGGGAATAAATATTTCCCTTGTTTGTTTAAGTTTGTCAAGTCTACATCAACCCTCCATATATTGGTGCTGTCTATAAAACGAAGGGTGGATCTTTGGAATTGGATATTTTGGGAATGTCGGTGCCATTATATTCACAATGCCAATATTTGAAATCTTTTAAGTTAAAGGAACACTATAGTCACCTAAACAACTTTAGCTTAAAGGACCACTATAGTGCCAGGAAAACATACTCGTGTAGGGTCCCCCTCCCGCCGGGCTCTGGGGGGATGAAGGGGTTAAACTTACCTCTTTCTCCAGCGCCGGGCGGGAAGCTCTCCTCCTCCCCTCCGCCTCTTCGGCTGAATGCGCATGTGTGGCAGGAGCCGCGCGCGCATTCAGCCAGTCCATAGGAAAGCATTCACAATGCTTTCCTATGGACGCTGGCGTCTTCTCACTGTGATAATCACAGTGAGAAGTGCGGAAGCGCCTCTAGCGGCTGTCAATGAGACAGCCACTAGAGGCTGGATTAACCCTATTATAAACATAGCAGTTTCTCTGAAACTGCTATGTTTATAGAAAAAAGGGTTAAACCTAGCTGGACCAGGCACCCAGACCACCTCATTAGGCTGAAGTGGTATGGGCACCTATAGAGGTCCTTTAATGAAGCAGTTTTGGTGTATCATACTTTTCGAGTTTTACTGCTCAATTCACTGCAATTTAGGAGCTAAATCACTTTGTTTCTGTTTATGCAGCCCTTGCCACACATCCCCTGGCTCTGATTGACACAGGTTGCATGGAAAAAAAAACTGGTTTCACTTTCAATCAGATGTAATTTACCTTAAAGAATTGTATCTTTTGCTCTGTAAATTGAACTTTAATCACATACAGGAGGCTCTTGCAGGGTCTAGCAAGCTATTAACATAGCAGGGGATAAGAAAATCTAAATTAAACAGAACTTGCAATAAAGGAAGGATAAACTTTAGATGACTCTTTACAGGAAGTGTTTAGGAAGGCTGTGCAAGTCACATGCAGGGAGGTGTGACTAGGGTTCATAACCAAAGTGATTTAACTCCTAAATGGCAGAGAATTGAGCAGCGAGACTGCAGGTACATGATCTATACACTAAAACTGCTTCATTAAGCTAAAGTTGTTTTTGTGACTATAGTGTCCCTTTAAGGCAAACATGGGATCAATGCAGTGTGGGTTGAAGGATAGGAGTTTAGACTTATAGGGTATTGGTTAGAAGTTGGAGGTAAAGATTATGGTTAGATGTTTAGGGTGAGAGAATCATTAGGTAAAAGGCTATTGATCTCTGTCGACATTCACAATTGTCATGATAATCAATGATAAAAATGAAACCAAATAGTAATTTTGGAGATATTTATTTTCACACATTTCTAAACTGTTTTAGAGATCTTTTCCAGTTCAGCTATTCAGGGGTATTTACTAAAAAATAAAATTCTCTTCTTTTTCCTCAATTTCCCACCATATCGAGATTAGCAGATTAAAGGGACTCTCCACTGCCCAAATACAGAATAATAAATCATTGTTTAGTAGATGTACCCCAAATTATGCAACAGTATGCATTTAATTATGCATTTTTCCATAAAGTGGTATATCTAAAAAAAAAGCTTGCAAAAGCTGTAAATCTCTTGTCTGCTGCCTTTGCAAACCCTTCGCCGAGACTTTCTGTGGTAGTCCAATCACAGACTTCCCAATGCAGCTTAATGAGAAGTCTGTGCAAGGCAGGTGCTCTGGGCAATTGCTGTCTCCTGACTTTCGGGTCTACTGAGCTAAACAAACCAGGAGGTAACAGAACCGGCTATCTGACTGACTGCCAAGGGGGTGTTACCAGGTTAATTTTTAAAAGTGTAAATTTCTATTGAAATCTGCACTTTTGCAAAATGTAGAAGAGGACACACCGTCTGAGTATTTTCTACTTTTGTCTTGTCCTGCTCGGTTTGCTTTTGGTGCCCCTGTGTTTTTCCTATGTTTCTGGGGCTCCCTGGAAGTCCCGGACTGTTTTGGCACCCTTTTTGGCCCCCCTATTTGGCTCAGTTTGACCAGTGTGGGGCCCCAGAAAGCTTTTCCAATCCACGCAAGAGAGCTTTTACGCACCAGGCAGAACAGGCGCGGCTATGGAAATGTGCGAGAGCACGAAACAAGAGTGACTCCGACTCAGAAATCGGGTCTAGTGAGGAGGCTGGTGAGGAGTCTGTGAGCAACTCTGAGAGGGATTCCGCTGAGTTGGGCCTTGACCTCTTTTCCTCTGCACAGGCGGGCATGTCCGGAGGCGACCTTGGGGCTGCTCCTTTCGCAGATGCATTGGGCAAGCCTTTATTCGACCCAGATGAGCTCCACCATCCAAGGTTGGCTAAGTGGCTCACTGCGGACCATGTGGACCGATACCTTGAGAACTGGGTATGGTGCCCATTCAGCAAGGCAGCCCGCAACAAACTTAAGGCAGAGGCCTGTAGTGCCTAACAAAGTATGTGACACCCTGGAGGTAGACCCAGTTTCTGGCTAAATTGGGTTGGAACCTAAGCAAAGGACTGGATTCGGCACTTAGATCGTGCCAAGACAAACACCTTGATGTGTCTGGCCCCCTTGCAAAATTGTTCGACTTGGCGGAGGACGCCAGAGCCAAAAGCCATATGGTAGACCCGGAGAAACTCCGTGGTTGGGTCCAGAGAGCGATTTGCATCGCCGGGAGTGTCAATGCCTACCTGTCCATGGAACGGCGTAAAGCCATCCTGTTTAAAATAGAGCCCAAGTTGTCCCATTTCGCCCTCACTGAAGCTGGTAAAGACACCCAGGCCTTATTATTTGGCGATTCCTTTATTAAGGATCTGGGTCACTTCGTAGGGGCATTTACTGCCCTTGATGAGGCTCAAACTTCCATGAGAAGGCTATTACAGGGGCGGGTCTCTACCAGGGTCGGCAGATTCAGGGGCCGTCTGGCCAGTCGCAACTATATCCAGTCCGGTGGCTCGGGACGAGACTCTTTCCAGTACTGCTCCAATTTCCAGGAGATGAGGACCCGGTCCCCCTTTTTCCCATCACGTTGTCAACCATGGTGGTGGAGAGGTTTCATAGACGCCCATACGGTGAGTTTAGCTCCTAAATTGCAGTGAATTGAGACGTTTCATTGAGGTTTCAAGACGCCCATACGGTGAGTTTACATAGACCTCAAGTTTTTTCTCTTGTTTGTGTAGGGTGCAGACTCCAACATTTTTTCCCAGTTTGGTCAACAATTACCTCAGACACGTGGGTACTCGACACATTTCAAGGTTTTCATATCGAACTTGTGAGCACGCCATGCGATATTCCAACTCCTCGGCCGATCTGTTTCTCACTCAGAGACCGCAGGTTGATCGATGAGGACTTGTCTGCCCTCTGCGTTAAGGAGGCAATAGAGCTGGCCCCTCTGGACTCCAAGGGGGTCTTAAGCAATATATTCCTAGTGGAAAAGAAAGGTGGGCAAATGCGCCCTGTCATTGCGCCCGCTCAATGCTATGGTTCACTACCGCTATTTTAAGATGGAGGGCATCCACTGAGGGACCTACTCAAGGTCAGGGCCCGCCCCAGAGTGTGCTTAAGCCCGTCCATGAATCCACCCACAGGGCCCACTCCTGAGTCCAGGAGTGGAGAGTATGTGTCTAAGTGATGTGATGTGTGTTATTGTAGAGGATGTAAAGTGTGTGCTTATGGAATGTAGTGTATAGGGATTCCAGTAGTGTCTATAGCGTATGTGTATAGGGGATGCAGTGTTTGTCTGTGTAAGGGAGTGAGTGTGCGCGTATAGTGGATTCAGTGTGTGTATACTGGATGCAGTGAGTTAGTATGTAAGCGATACATGCAGTGTGTGTGTTTGTGTGTAAAGGATACGTTTTGTGTTTCTGTATGTGGCTGTGCGAGTAAAAGGGATGCATTGCGTGTTTGTGTGTGTGTGTAAGGGATGCATTGTGTTTCTGTGTATGTGTATATGAGATTTATTGTGTGTTGCTGTGTATGTGTGTAAGGAATGTATTGAGTGCTTTTGTGTGTGGTTTAGGGATGCATTGTGTGTGTGTGTGTGTGTTTCTGTGTGTAAGGGATGCATTG